ATCTTTGGGTTACCTCGCAATACCTTTGGGTTACCTCACAAGACGTTTGGGTTACTTTGCAAGACGTTTGGGTTACTTTGCAAGACGTTTGGGTTACTTTGCAAGACGTTTGGGTTACTTTGCAAGATCTTTGGGTTACTTTGCAAGATCTTTGGGTTACCTCGCAAGATCTTTGGGTTACCTCGCAAGACCTTTGGGTTACCTCGTAAGACCTTTGGGTTACCTCGCAAGACCTTTGGGTTACCTCGCAAGACCTTTGGGTTACCTCGCAAGATTTTTTGCATTACCTCACAATTTTGTTTTGTTTCCACACAAGTTTGTTTTGTATGAACTGAGTTAAATCAGACTTTTATTTTGAAATATCCGGTTACAGAAAAAGGATGGGTCGCCACAAGTTCAGGAAATTGACGTTGATATTGCATGGCTGCACTGAGTTAAAATATCGATATATTACACACTTCCATGCGTGGCTGTGTGATATATTCACTCCAAAACTGAATTAAAGTAGTAGGGTAACTCGATAATAGTGAGCAGGTGAATTTGTTAATAAACCAGCAGGCAAAGCAGTGATAAAGGACTTTTACGAGGGAACACAAAGATATTGCAAATGAACGCAAAAGAAAAAAAATCCCCCATGTGGGCTCCGTAGATATGGACGAGTTTTTCATTCTTTATTATTGATTGAGCGTTTCTTCCATTCTGTAAACTCCCTCATCATGTTTGCCAACTCGTCTTCAACATTCAGAGCTCGGTGAGATTTTATTTTTCCTGTCAAAAATAAGGAATTGTGAGGAYTAACTGCAGAGAACAGCAATCGTCTAATAGAGGAGAATAAGACGGATGGATCTGGTGTTGGTGGATATGTTTAGGAAGAAATATTTAGCAGAATATATCTTTTAATCTGCTTCTGTTTGGTAAAAAAAAAAAATGAGGTTACGTTTCTTCCTGGGTTTTTTATTTACCCTGGGAAAATGAAGTGATGCGTTGCTCCAGTTTTAGTTGTTTAACAAACTGAAGATAAAACGCTCACAGAACAGTCGGGTGTTAAAGGGTTAAAATAATTAACTCTTCATGGAACACACGTTGGTGTTCAGGGTATGGGCTTGTGGTTATGTGACCATAAAAATGAAGCTGGAAGAGCTTTGAATTAAAAAAAAAAAAAGCTTTCGACCTTCAGATCTGAAGGAATCCAGACAATTGCTGGGAGATTTTCACTGTTCTCACTGTTCATGTTCAGTTTGATTCTGGTTTATCTGGATTTTTAGCAGCATCTGTAACTTCTGTTTTGAAGGTAAAAGTTTGATCAGCCCTCCTGCAGAGCATTTGTTGGTAACTTAGACTTGTATATGAGCTCCATTCACTTCAAGACACTTTTAAAGACAGAATTTTGTTTTTAAAGGTGCAGAAAAATAGGAAAATATAGAGAATTTTCTTTCATTCCAGCAGGATGAAAGATGTGGGTGTTTGTGTAATCTCAGAGAAATTCACATTTAATTTCTCTGCTGGTGGATTTATGGAGATGAATGAAGTGTTTTGTTTTTYTCTTTTCTGGGTTTTGTTCAGATAAAAAAAAAACAGAAGTGTTTGAAACAGTTGGAAGAACTTCAGCTCTTTGGCTCGGTTCTGTTCAGTTGGAGGCCGAGGTCACCGAGCTGTTAGCGCAGGGGTCTGCAACCTACCGGTTATGGGGCCACACGCCTTCTGGCTGCAGTGGCTCTCTGGAGCTCTGACCAAAAACAAACTGAAGTGAAATAAAAATTTTAAATGTGTAACTATGACAAAAAAACTTTACTAAATATAAAATAAATTGACTTTATTTCCTGTGTTCCAACATGTAAAAATATCCAAAACAAACATTTCTTACAGATCTGTGAACTCTCAGTTGTGCTCTCTTCATTTCGAAGTGTTTGGAACGTCTGTGGGTAAAGGAGCAGAAATGGAAAGGTTGCAGACCTCTGCTTCAGTGTTTCTTTTTACATCTCAGATAAAGACTTTGGAGTTTGTGAGCTAAAATAAGTCAAACTTTTTGCCAAGATGAGGTTTTGAGGATCTGTGCTGATAAATCTCTAACAGAAAAGCTGCATACTGAAAACTTAGGACTGTATTTTGCAGCATCCTGTAGTTTATTTATCATGAGCAGCAGAACAGCTAAAGAAGAGATTTGTTCACTTCATGTGAAAACGTACCCTTTTCCTATTGTCTGATGTGAAACATGTCATCTTCGGCTGAGATTATAACTCACAGCCAAAATCTGACCTGTTTATTATAAGAAAACCTCATTTTGATTTAAATTTGGATAACTTATATTAACATCAGATGTGTGCAGGTTATTGGAATTATAGATTTTCATAAGACTTCATGACAAAACACRTTTTTATACATGTGTCAAAGCTCACCTCCTCAGTTCTTTAGCTGTTAGATTTGACTCGATGTCATATAGACACTGAATCAGAAAACACGTCTCAGATTCTTTGAATGAATAACGGAGACATAAATTTGAAGCAGCGTTGTTCCAGGTCCTGATGGAAACTTGGTCAGTTGCTTTCATTTGCCTCGTAGATAAAGAAAATGTTTGTCTACGTTTGGCAGCTCGACGTTCGGTGAAGGGAAACGTGGTGAAATGTTGATTTTAAAGGAATAAACGAGGTTTTCCTGCTTCACTTGTTGCAGCGTCTCTTCACCTGCTCAGGTGGTAAAACAAGTAATTGTTGTGGATTAATAATAAATAAGTTTTAACTTTTGCRTTCCTCTGTATCTGTTCTGAAACTGAGTTTATGTCACAAACGTCTGATTTCACTGTTTTACTCCTGCTTTCATTGAATAATCACAGCATAAATTTTACCAGAAAGAAATGTCTGATTAAAGTATTTTATTCTGTTTTGTGCTCAGATTCAGCTAAAATTTGAATATTATTTGTCATTAAAGTTTTCAGGCTTTTATGAATGGATGCTTAGCTTTGGACCAAACTTTTCCTGCTTGATGTTTTCAGCATCTTATTGTTCAAAATAAAAACTTTATTGTTCATTTGTTGTGAATTCATTGAAAATAAAAACATTAAGGATGAAAATGGTTCTTTCACTGGCTTGTTTATTTCCTGTATGATATTTTGCTAACAGAGGGTTGATGCCAGCAGCTCAGTGTCTGGGATCATTCTCAGCTATCAAACCAAAGTTTAGTTCAGACACTATAAATTTGACAGAGTTTTTGCCAATTTTAAAATCATTAATGTCACTTAGCTGTGCTCTATTGAATCTGATCAAATTATTCAGTTACATAAGGTAACTAGTTCAAGAGATATTTTACTAACAAAACGAAATAACCCCATGAATCCATCACTTCTGCACAGAACTGCACTTTRAAAGATCTGAACTACCACTGTTATATAAAGTACCACAAAGTGATACTTGAGTAAAAGTACAAATATCTTACCAAAAAATTACTTTGGTAAAAGTTAAATTCTCCTTTAGGAATATTACTTGAGTAAAAGTGTTAAAGTATCTGATATTTTTTGTACTTATTTCAGAGCTGTTGACATATACACTTTACTTTTGGTTATATTTACCCAAACTGAGTGAAAATTGTTACCTCAGCGTTTTTATTTTTATTTTTTGGCAGTAACTAAATAATTTGCTACGTGTATGCAAATATTTCATGTAATTTAACTTCAGTTCACAAATTAAATTTTTGGTACAAATACACTGTTAGAATAGCTAATATTTTACTGAGACATACC